GCAATGTAGCAGGTGCATCCACTCATTGTGTTCTCTAAAATTCTAAACTTCTGAATTCCTCATAATCTGTATCTTTCTCTTCCTAAATTTATCTCACTGAATTATACTTTTCGAATGATATCTTTGCTACCTATTCTTCTGCATTACTGCTAATAATTCTACTATCGCTATCACTCTTGGATTTGAACTGACGGTTACGTCTCTGTGCTGATGTGGTATGGCAACCTGAACTGATATACTTATGTACGAGGTTCTGCGTTTTATCTGTGTATCTGTCTGGGAAATCATGCAATGTGCTTACTAGTGATTAGCTTTGTGAAGAAATTCTCGGAGTTCTAGTGAGAAGATGTGTTTACTGGAGCTCTAGTCTGTCGGGTGTAGACGATAACTGTTGAAGACAGTAATAGCGCTGGATGCCGGCACACTGGTTCAGAGGTTAGGCTTTCGCTCAAAAGACCGTACATCTTTAGTTCAAATCCTGTGAGTGGCTGGAGTCATGGATGCGCACTGCCACTGATGAATCCCATACCAAGGAGAAACAGGTGTCCAGTGCTTCCAGGTTTCTAATGGTGGTTTAACATTGACTGCTTGATTATTTCAAATGTGTAAAAACGCAGATCTCTAAAGCTCTAACTGAAAACTTGTTCATACCTTATATTTTTACAAAATTGTCTTTTACCTCATCTATACCATATAATATGTTGTCTATAAACAAACGAATTTGTTTTGTTGTTGTTGGTAAATTCCACTTTAAGATAAACAAACATTGTCTAGACAATAATGATTACCGGCATTCAAATACTCCATTCTATGATTAACAGATACTTAGACTACACTAATCTTCTAGTTAGTCTATTCATTCTTACTAATATAATTAGACCAGTTTATTCATTGACATTAAAAAAATAATTTGCCAGTACATCATCACTAAAAAAAAATCCATCTCCATGTTTATTATGCCAAAAAGCCTATTTACTCATACATTTCGATGATTGACGAAACATGTGATTGTCTAATTCATTATAGTTGTAGTTGTAGTAAGTAGTAGTTGTATCATGAATTTCCTTACATTTTATTGTCAACTTACTTACTAATCAATCTTATTGATCATTATCAGTATTATGATTGGAATGAAAATGTTTTTTGTAAAGCTACTGATCAGTAGTTGTGGTGTTAATGGTGTTGACAAGAATTTCATCAATTATTAGTTGAGTTCGTTTAATTGTAGCAATCATATGATGAATGAGAAATTTTTGTTTAAAATGCAACCATTAAGTTGGTATTGACAATTGATTCTTTTCACAAGAATAGAACATTTACTCTTTCATATTTCAATTTAGACTAACTAAGTAAATGAACATAAAAGGGGAATTCAGTTAGTTATAACACAAACGATCTGTGGATCAGTAGAGAGTGAGTAGAATTAGATTAAATAATTAAGGATAGAAGTTGTTACTGTTTTCATTCTACTTTTGTAGAATGACACTGGAATATATTAACGCATTTGAAGTTAATTTAAACGCTCACTATGTGTTAGGATATTCATCCAATATCCTAAGAGAATTATTGGTCAATTACTATTGGTTAATTCCTATTGGTCAATTTTATGGTCGTCCGAGATATCAATGTCAAGTGCTCCAATGTTGTTTCTTATTGGTTGTCCTGACTATCAATGTCACAGACTTCGATGCTGTTTCCTATTCGACCATAATGTATAAATACGCATTATCTGTGACGTTTTATGACCAGGATCAGGACCCGGCCCCGGATCCCTAGTCCGGGATCCTGTTTCTCTTTAGGATTTGGACCTCGTACTTTCTGGATGCTTGTAGAATACAGGTTCTACTTCATACCAAGTCTTGTCTTCTTTTACTCAATATGGGGGTTAGGATAGTCGGATTTGGGTAGCATGTCGTGTCGCCGGATCTCCGCTCTCGTTTTCCGACTAGGTAAACCCGCAGTAGTTCAAGCATATCAGGTTGACGTGTTTACGTGCAGGCGTAACATTATGGTCCAAGAATCTTGCTTCACTAGAGCAAGTAAGCTATTAGAATACATGTGAAATGAATAAGAAGAGAGAGCTTTTCCATTACATAGAATGAAAACGAATGTAACAGTTGCAACGTTTCCGTTCTTTTAACAGTGGTCGACAGCTGATTGTTGAGACACCTTTAAATTCTAGATACATATACAGATATTTTATTGAAATGGAATATCTGAATTGTTTGTTTCGACATCGCTTTTATATTTTTCTCTATTAATCAGTTTGGATAGTTATTTTCAGCCAAGATTCTTCTGAGGAACCCTTTCTCTCAATGCACTTGGAACTACAGCATTTACATAATCGGTAACAGAAACAAATAAACAAGAGACCTCTTTCAGCTTAATGGAACGCAGCTATAGGAGTTAATTGTTTAATTGATCCATATTTGTTTCTGTTACGCACGTCTGTAGGTATGCTTAAAACTATTACGAGTTCACCTTAGTCGAATAACGAGAACAAAACAAGGAATCAGAGTCCAGGTAGGCTACTGTGATTCCTTGACCAATCTGAATGAGCAAGAAGTCATGATATAGTGTAGAAATTGTATTCCACAAACACTCAGCCGGTATCTAATGAATGCAAGCACTCAAATTGCGTTTATTTATACTCTATACAGACGTCCGTGAGACAGTCACAAGAATAGCACACTAAAATGACACAGTAACCAATCACAGTCAAGGATTTTGCTGTTGGGAAATGTGATCTCAAGGTCAACTGATCAGCCCATGTGCATAAAATCCAAAATCAAGCGAGTTTTAGGGATCTAACATCCCCAACAGTTTCTTTTAAAAAAGCTTTTGAAAAGACTCACTGCTGTGTCTTGTAAAAGCACATGAATAAATCAGACTGAATAAACTTCTTCATTTTCTAACGTGAATCTAAGAGGGAAGTGCAAGGGGGTTGGTTAGTTAGTCAGTCAGTAAGTTACAATGTAGAACTTCATACATTAGTTCAGGATACTATACCACAACATTAGCACACAAAGAGAGAGAGAGAGCATAATAATTCTTCTAAACTACTATCATTTGTTTCAATGTTTCGATTAACTAAAAATAAGTTAAACTTAGATAATCTACTTCGTTTTTAATTCTGAATAGTTGAAGTATTATTTTTTCTAGGAAAAACAAAGTATATTTGTCAACTAAACCTGAAGTTAACAATATTGTGGAAATTATCAGTCAATAATTGTTTGACCACTATTAAGAGAAACCTGGAAGCACTGGACGGCCGTTTCCTCCCGATATGGGACTCATCAGCAATGCGCATCCACGACTCCTGCCCCTCACAGGATTCGAAGCCCGGACCTTCGGTGTTGTACGCGAACGCCTGGGACGGTGTCAGTCGGTGTTATTATGATTGATTCAGGGATTTTTGCTCGACCTCACCCAATTGTCTTCGGTAGTTACTACCTTTAACATTAACACCGTTTGATGCCCGTCCTGTGATCCAATGGTTAGGCATTAGCGCACAATACCGAAGGTCCCGGGTTCGAATCCTGTAAGGTGCAGGAGCCGTGGATGCTCACTGCTGTTGAGTCCTATACCAGGACGAAACGGTCGTCCAGTGCTTTCAGGTTTCTAATTGTGATAGTCTAACAATAATTGATTGATGATTTTAAATGTGTAAAATCACTAATCTCCATAACTCTAAATGAAAATATTGTTGACTTGAAAAGTTATACTGAATAACAAATCTTCAACTGATTGTAATACTACTAGGTATCTGCTTTTTTTAATGCTGGAAAATATGAATAAAAATTGTTTTTTCAATGAAATAAGACATAAAAAGTCACCTTGTACACAATATTCACTGACGCAAATGTACATACACTACGATTATTCGCATAAATGAGAAGGATTATTTATCACGCGTTTTTGCCTAATTTACCCTGAAAAATAAAGAACTATGAAACCTATCGATTATTTGAATACTATCATTTTACAAAAATAAATAGTGAGATGTTTGTCGTGAAGAATAAATAAACATTACTTCATAACTATCTAGGGTGAAACATACATTTATTTTAGAGAGAAAAAGAGTAGTCATTGAATAAACTGAATTTTTTTTTATTATGTTGAACTAAAACAAAATATTCAAAGCATGATTATGAACAAAGCGTTATCTTATTGTTATGACACATTTCGAATACATTTTGTTTGCTGACTAAATGAGGAGTGTACTGCGCAGTAATTTGCTCCATCCTACTTAACGGCTGTGAGACATGACTAGCCATAATAGAGGATATTCGTAGGTTACTGGTTTTTGATCATAGGTGTCTCCTAGGCATTGCTTGCGTATTATGCGACGACCGAATAGGCAAGGATAGCTAGTCCATAGACGAAGTACTAAAACTTCATCAGTTGAGGTGGTTAGGACATGTGTTGCGTATTCACAACCACCGACTGCCTCGTCGAGCTATGTTTTTTGATGTAGGAATAGGTTGGACGAAAGCTAGGTGCGGCCAAACTAAAACATGGTAAAAATCGATGAAGTCGCTGAGAAGTTGACGGAGTCATGTTGGTAGATGTAGGCTATCTGTTTGGGGTCGGCGAGATGATGGTAATCGGTGGTTAGAGACCCTGGATGATATGTCTGAAAACCGTTTGCGATGGCGCACGTGCATTCATTCCTAGTGTTCTCTCAAATCCTAAACGTTTTAATTCTTCATCGCTTTATCTTTATCTTTTCTTTTTTAAGTCTATTTCACTAGATTCTACTTCTTGAATAATATCTTCGAACCATTATCTTTTTCATCACTGCTAATACTTCTACTATCTCTACCACTATGGGATTTGAATTGACAACTACATCTCTGTGCTAATATGTTAGGGCAACATGAACTGATGTACGTACGTACAAAGTTCTACGTTGCGGTTGATTGATTGATTGATTACTAATTATGATATCCATAATTTTCAAACATTTTTAAAATAAAACCATTTTCTGCTTACTTCAGTTTTACAATATGGAATACAATAATGGGTACATCGATTTTGGTCATGCCATGGGCTATTCAACAAGTGAGCTACTTTTTTTCTCTAAACGATATCTTAATGTTTTTTCCTCTTAAAAAGTATGCGCGAATTGTTTTGATAAGGTCAATACTTTTTTGCCGGTAAATATGATTATCCTTTTCAGTTGTGTAAAATAGTGTTTACTTAATTAAGATGTTGAATTTCTTACTTATAATTCATTATTCATAAAATAATTCGTTTTTGTGCTCGTCATTTGATATGCTCGAAACTATTACTAGTTCACCTTAGTCGGTGAACAAGAGCGAAGACAAATTATCTAGTGACACGTTAGGCTACTCTAATTTGAGCGTCCCAAAGCACCACTAAGTAGAGGAAGAAGTCTTGATAGATATATAGTGTAGAAAGTATATTCAATAAGCACCTAGAAAATATGAGGTTGACAAGCACACTAATCCAGTTTCTTCATACATGATAGAAACGTCGTTAGGAGAGCCACAAAAAAGTAGCGTACTAAAATAAAACATCAACCAATAACAACAGTCAAGGATTTCCTGAGTGGGAAATATAATCTCAAGGTCAACTGATCTACCTATGCTCCAAACACAAAACCCAAAATTAAGACCTTTATAAAGTGAGTTCTGGTAATCTACCATCCACAACATTAGTGAAAATTCTTTAAATTTGATTCTGAAATGTTATTCAAAGTTAATTTTTTTACCATGCACTCATTTTAAATAAACGTGTGTTCGAAATAAAAATTACAAGTGCTTTTCAGCAATAATCTATGTGATAAATTAGACAAATTTTAATAAACACTTGTATCTTGTGGATGATGCCTTTCGTAATTCTCCAAGTTTCCTCTCCATACAGTAGAACTGTCTTGACATTTGTATTGAAAATGCTGATTTTGGTTTTGGTTGAAAGTTGTTTGGAGTTCCAGATATTTTTCAACTGTAGAAATGCAGCCCTTGCTTTGCCAATCCGCGCCCTCACATCTGCATCGGATCCACCTTGGTTGTCGATGATGCTGCCAAGATAGGCAAAGGTGTTAACGTCCTCCAAGGCATCTCCATCAGGAGTGGTTTGGTTGGTGCATGTTGTGTTGCATCGTAGAATCTTACTTTTCCCTTTATATATGTTGAGACCTACTGTTGCTGATACTGCTGCTACACTGGTCATCTTCTCTTGTATTTGTTATTGCGTGTGCAATAGAAGAGCCAGATCATCTGCGAAGTCCAGATCGTCCATCTGCATCCTAGCTGTCCACTGGATACCGTGCTTCTCTTCAGATGTCGACGTCTTCATAACTTGCCAAAACACCACTAACCACATAAACATATGAATTAGTAAATGCAAACAGATATCACGTGATAGTGTGTTCAGTGTCTAAACCTATTCATTTCTATCAAATTCAATTTATTAGTGTACGATATTTTCTCCATGTCTGTGTTCAGTTTCTCTTTTAAAGCCATCTTGTTTGATTTTCCTCTAAATTTACAGCAGTACAGAAATGTGGCTTATAGATGTTAAGTAATAATAATTTCAATGAAAAATTAAATTTTTTTGAACTTTTTTGATAATTCATTTCACATCAAAAATGCCAAAATTATTCATTCTTTATCTGACCTGTTTTTTATAGTTTTACACTTGTATTCTTTGAAATTACCGTTATCGATTTGTACTACAATGGATTTGTACGATAGTTATGCAAGAACATATTTTATATGAGAATAGGGGGTCACCATTTAAAACTCCTTTTATTGTTAAAGTTTATTTTTCAGCAGGACTAAACGTCAATTCGTGAGAAAAATAATGGGCTATCAATACAAAGTGTGCCTAACTCGTTTAATCTTATTTGACTAATGAAGCATAGGTCATTGACCAGTAATTACTACAACCTACTCTATCTTCAGCTTTTCGTTTTAGTTCTACCGCATTGCTGTTCATTCTTTTCATATTTGCTTCAAATTCTCGATGTAATGTCTTCTTTGGTCTTCCTATTCTAATTTGACTTTGAGGATTTGTTCCTCCTCTGAAACCTTGGTTTTTTCTCTCCTACCGTAGATCGTTGCTGATAGTAACTAGTCAACGGATCCAAAGTATTTTGTGTAGACAAAGGTTAATAAACACAACATCTACAGGATCATGGCTTGCATGGATATCCAAGTTTCCTCCATATACGTACGACACAGATCAGTCTTGATTTTTTTTATTCAACAACATGGTCAACATAATAAAATCTTTTTCTAAAAAGCACAGTTTTGGGGATGTTAGATCCTCAGAACTCGCTTGTAAAATGTCTTTATTTTGGATTTTATTCATGGGCTGATCGGTTGACCTTGGGATCACATTTCCCATCAGGAAAAGCCTTGGCTGGGATTGGTTACTGTGTTATTTTAGTAGGCTGTTTTTGTGACTCTCCCAAGGACGTCTCTATGGTGTATAGATAAACGCGATTTGTGTGCCTGAGATCACTGTGCTTGCTGTGTGTTTGTAGAATACACTTTCTACACTATATCAAGACTTTTTCGTTAGTTCCTTTGGATCAGTAGATCAGAGTAGCCTACCCGGACACTGGTTCGTTGTCTCATTCTCATTTATCGACTAAAGTGAACTCGTCACAGTTGCAAGCATAACAAGTGACCAGCATAACACACACACACTATCACCTTGTTACAGAAGATTGATTTTCGAATTGTCTTTTTTATTTTAATTTATACTTTTCAACAGGCTGGATTTGCTTTAGGCATATTTTTAATTATATTTGTCGCATTCATTGCATGGTATTGTGGTTATCTTGTATTGAAAGCAACGGATGATTTAAAAAGTATGTGATTTATTTTTATTATGTGTTTATTGTTATTATTATTATTATTTGACATGTATGTGAAGTGCTGTTTATACAATACTGATATATATATATATATATATATATATACGATTACTGAAACCATTCGGAATAGGTGTGGCACACAAACCAACAGAATCACTTCAATCAATCGTATATATAGACCAAAGGACAAAATGACAAATGAAGAAAAACCAAATATCACTTACAAAATAAATTGTTCAGACTGTGAAAAACACTATATAGGACAAAGTGGACGACCTCTTCAGCTTCGTTTATCGTGAACATCAATTAGCAGTCAAACACCACGACAACTCTTCGCTTATATCAATACATACCGACAATTATGGACATGCATTCGATTGGGAGGAATTTTTAGAAGCTCGGCAGTCAGGTCAATCAGCAATCAAAAAACACATCGACATTGACCCAATTTATCAAACAATCAGGAAAATCATAAGCAAACATAGGGTCAAGATACCGATCAAAAGGGGGATACAGTCAAAACAGAGGTGCGAACAACCATAGGTTTAAGGTCAACAGCAACCAATCAAGATAGAGGTTAGCAGAACAAGCTACAGGTCAAACGTGGAGAAATTCGAATGCTTCACTTCTATCTGATATCCACGACTATTGCTAACCACAGGATTCAAACCCAGGACCTTCGGTCTTACTGACAAACTCCTAACGCCTAGATTGATTGGCGTTATATATTAACACTACTGGATACCGTCGCAGTGGTCCAGAGGTTAGGCTTTAAAGATTACTTAACAATCACAACAATATTACAGTTTGAAATAAATCCGCTGCTGGTAGAATCTCTTAATGGCTAGCAGTGAAATCCAGTAAAAGCGTATCTTCCTATTTAAGACTCATTAGTTCGGTGCACCTGTATCTCAGAATTGATGTTCACTCCAGAGACTTTGAACCTAGTATTGCTCATTTGAACCTTCCTGGTTGATGCAGGTTCATCTAGCTGACGAGTCCCGAATAGGACGAAGCACCTATTCTGGATGCCACTGTTAGCCATTATCCATTTCTTCTAATCATGGTTGTAATCCTGAGGCAATATCAAGGCAATCTACACAGATTGAATATATATCAATGAGACTGTCAAGTTCGAGTGGTAGATATCATCAGTGGGAAGATTCAGACAGTTCATACATTTAGATATTCGACTTGTGAATTTTCACATATAAACAATATTTATCATTCTTCCATACCTTTAATAAAAGTAACTGAATACAATTCATTGTCAGTATTGATTGTTTACAATCCTATCCTATTCGATTATGCACAACCTTTCATTTCTGATGTGACCTTGGAAAAAATCTAATGTCCATCCAGCTAATATTGATGTTCTGTCATTCGACTAGGGAACTTAGCAGAACTTTTTTCATACCCTAATTACCAAGACTCATTAATCGATATTAAAAAGGATACTTAGTGAGATAGACATATGACCTTTAGGTTTGCTGACATATTTCAGGTTCAGACTAAGCCTAAAATAGATTAATATTCTGATTATTATTGTGATTATTATTATTATTAGTAATGGTAGCAGTATAAAGTGATGATTGGTGAATCTACACATTTTGAAATTATGAATCGATCAATGTTAGACCACCATTAGAAACCTGAAAGCACTGAAAGAAGGCAGCTGGTATGAAACTCATCAGTGACAGTGCACATCCACGACTCCTGCACTCCGCAAGATTCGAACTCAGGACCTTTGGCCTTGTGTGCGAACGCCTAACCTCTGTACCACCGAGCCGGTGCTTCTAGGTTTCTAATGGCGGTCTAACATTGATTGATTCATGGTTTCAAAATGTGTAACTTAACAATCTTCACAACCCCGTAATGCGATTGGTGAATCATCAGTCTCAGACCACAAGTTAAACATCTATTGGAAGAGAAGAAGCACTGGAAAGTTTTGAGATGATGGAGAAAACCTGTAGCTCAGGTGGATGATTGTGGTGATGTTTCGTTCTCTGAGCTGGTTGTTTTGGTTGTGGAGCTTTCATTGTTCTTCTGAAAAAACATCATCAGCACAAACTTCAGATAAAAGTGAAGCATTCGAATTTCTCCACTTTTAACCTGTAGCTTGTTCTGCTAACCTCGATCTTGATTGATTACTGTTGACTTTTGATCTGTCGTTGTTCGCACCTTTGTTTTGATTGTATCCTCTTTTTGATCTGTTTCTTGATCCTATGTCACCTATGATTTTTCTGATTGTTTGATAAATTGGGTCAATGTGTGTGGTTGCCAATCCACACAGACTTAATTTTCAACAACAGTTGCAACAACCCAAGAACCCACAAAATTAACTGCATACAAATCTTGTTCAAGAAAGTGAAGACACACTGCCGCACATATGAAGCATTAAAAAACGGGGAAAAATATCTTCAGACTATCTTCCAAAAGAACGGCTATCCACGCAACTTCATCAAAAAACATCAACTGAAATCGTCAACAGAAGCGAAATCAAGTATAGAAACCAATAAACTGATCATCCTACCATACATAAGAGACATATCGTCAATCGAGAATCAAGCCCCACATCTTCAGTTCACGTGAAAAGCGTGTAAAAATGCTAGAATTCAGTGATTTAAATTTCTAACTTCACTTCATCATCTAAAATCACTTTCTGACGTACAAAAATAATTTAAGCTAGAATAATAGTCAAGTTATTTAATTGATGTAAACAATGAATAGTTTACAATTTTACAACATCAAAACTATCCCTCATTCATTCATTTGACTTGTGTGTTTCATTTAAGTTGTTCTATAGTGAATACACAATAATAAAAGTATTGTAATATTGTTTGTTTAAACTTACCGGCTAAAAATCAATCAATTTATTTCGTCACTTAGGGTCGTAAATGAACAAGAATATTTTGTTTAAATTATTGAAAAAATTGATCATCGTTCAATGTATGAAACATTGAATACTGACTGATAAGAAGATAATCAGTTCTGATTATTTATTTGATTGATTCTTCTGTGATTGCGTTTTCGACGATTGTCTGAATAGAAAATGTCATTATTTTAAACATTTTCTATGGAGGACTTGGTTTGAATTGTTTGGCTGTATAAGGAAGGATCCCTATGATGTTGCCTGTAGTGATGGAGTGAAATTAAGTGATAGACTATCTATTTGTACCTACCTTACACAAAATGGAATTTACATCTGATGTCAACTCACTATCCTTATTCTTCTACGCCTTCAGGTTATTTCCTTAAGCCTCTTTCAAACGAGGTTTAATACAAAACTGATGGTTAACTAGTATTATTGCATTGTCATTCTTCCTGGAAAGCGTCTTCATGATATTTATTGAGTGTAAATAGTTTGTTAAATTAGACCTCACTAAGGCGTGTAATATGAGCTTTTCTCAAGCAATGTAATGATGAACGCTTCTATAAATGTGACTGGCATTAGGTACTAAAATTTTCCGCAATTGCATATGGAGTTTTAATTGATGTAGTCGAGTTTATTATCGTGGACAGATCAGAAATAATTCCAAACCCATTTAGGGCTGGCAAACTATATGTTGGCTTTGATTAGTTCATTCTAAATCCCTACCGCTTCCTATGGACTATGAATTATATCTCTGAAGAACAAAGGCACAGCCCATGCCTTGTAGATATTTAAGTTGTCAACAAACAAAATGTATCCCCAAAGCGATTCTAAATGAATCTTGAAACAAAAGCACTATTTGTTACCTTTCTACAGATAACTTTCGAAAAATATAAGAGGAAGCAAAAAATCTTTAAAGTTCACTATCAAAGAGCTCGACAACATAGTCGGTGCTTATAACTTCTGTCTCAAGACAGATCGAAACGTCTACTGGGCATCTTTATCACCAAAAAAATAGTTCCACCATGCTCAGTAGGCTTTATTATTAATTTTTGTAGATATATATCTCTTATGATGTATACAGACTGTTCAGATACTGAAATATTATTTAATGAGCTAATGATTTAGTTAATCAGCAACAGTGTGGGACTTGGTACGTGTGTACATCATTTCAAATTGTCACACCTCGTTAGCACAGAGAGATCGAATTGTCAGTTCAAATCTCCCAGTGGTAAAGGGAATAGCAGTGTTATCGCTAATCGAAAAAATAGGGATTCGAGAAATGATTGGGAAAGGTGTATCCCAAATGAGCTAATGAAGTTTATATCATGTACTGGTTTATCTAGTTCCCCCTTTGAATTCAGTTTTTTTAATATTCAGTGCCTTAATTTCACCTTGAAACGTTCTAGCTCTCTCTAATATCAATGCATATTTGACTAATAGAATTATATTTTCAACACAGTTTCAGTAATAACTATCCTAATTTAGTAACAAAATGAATTTTTTCAAAGTGTCGATTGTGGACTGATTTTGGCTACACCTGGAGCTTATCTACAGCTACTGCCGGTCTGAAGCCCGGATAAAGGAAGCATTTTGGGTAAGGAGTGAGCGACCCAATCTTTTAGAAAACTAACTAACTAACTAAAAAATCGCTAACTAGAAAAAAAATAATTCAAACCAGTTTAGCTCTGCCCTGGGCATTTTGAAGGACTTCATTTAGATCAGTTATGCTGTCTCATGATGAAAACTGAGTTCCCTCGGAAGTCACGAGATCGATGTCCCTTCTGACAGCCATAGTACTCATACATTTAGGCAGTGAATCATTGAGAAGCTTGAAGTACTGGACTCCTCCTGTTTTATTATAGTTTGACACTTCATGACAGTATACATCTATGAAATGACAACTAAGAATTTAAACTCAAGGTTTCCAGTTAACGTCACAAACACTTAACCTCTAGACAATTTTATTTAGCATTCATCAACAACCAGTTAACGATGCTGACTAACTTCATTAACTGGATTAAATAATTGTGTTCTTATTATTGTTTAACATATCTTTTTATTCTCACAATTTTAGTTATACAAAACATACGTTCATCTGTTGTTGATTTGGAATTCACTGATGTATGCCTGTATCATTTAGGAAAACCTGGTTATATCTTAGCAATTGCATTTTCTATGTTAGCACTATTCGGTGCAATTATAGTCTATTATGTATTAATGTGTAATTTTTTATATTACACTGGTGAATTTATTTATCGTAAGTTGAATGTGACTTTTGTGTTTTTTTTAAAAAGTCATATTAATTTTTCTTGAAAAACAAAATTCTACTTTATTTATTGATAATTTGGGATTGATTTTTTTCTGATTCCTGGACAAATTTGTTCCAAATATGTTTATGTCAAACATACCCTACAGTGTTTGCATTTTGAAATCATCAATCAGTCACCATTGTTAGACCACCGTTAGAAACTTGGAAGCAATGAAAGACGGCCGTTTCATCCTGGTATGGTACTCATCAGAGGGCAGAGAGCATCCACAACTCCTGCACTTCGCAGGATTCGAACCCAGGACCTTCGGTCTTGCTGGCGAATGCCTCACCTCTGGATCACTGGGCAGGCATCCAATAGTGTTATTGTCTAACTCTGATCAATTAACAGAGGTTCGCGCAACCTCAAACATTTGTCTTTGGTAGCTACTGCCTACACTCGAAAGGATTGAACTCCACTGGTCATGTCTTCTCACTGGAGCTCCGAAAATTTCCTCACGACGCTGGTCACTAGTGAGCACATTTTATGATTTTTCAGTTAGAGTTATCAAGATCAGTGTTTCTTGCACATCGATCAATCGTTGTTAGACCAACATACCAGGACGAAACGGCCGTTTTTCAGTGCTTCCAGGTTTCTAATGTGCAAGAAACACTAATCTCCATAACTTTAATTGAACATTTCCCTACAATTATTGTGTTCAGATATTTTTTTTATCCCAAATTTGTACTACATATAAAATTTATTTACATAAATTAAGTAAGCTTTGTATATGCACATTTTATTCAGTTTACAAAAGCAACTAATATTGGAAATATGTGTGTTTTGAAAAAGTCAACTCCTTTTTTTTAGTATGAGTCTATTCTCCTATTGAAGGTTGTTGAATTTTGCAGATGATTTACTATGATAAATATTTTTTTGTATGCTATCACTGTATTCAAGCAATTTCATTTAAACAAAAGAACAACACACAACAGATATTGAGCATTGTACTGTGGTGCGCGCTACTTATAAGTAGTATATGACGTGAGTGTAAACGTAATGCCTGGCAGCAGAACATGGGGAAAGATCAAGAAAGGAAGAGTTAGAACACAATGGAATTTGTATGAAACGCATGAACAGTGAAATGTCAGACAATGGATTGATGATGGTTTGAAGATTTGCAAATTAACGCTTTACACGATATGGTTTTCCTATTTTATTGGGTAACTCTTTAATTTTCGTTAAATACAATTCGGTTGCCCTCACCTGTGTTCTCCTTCACTACAGTACAACAAGTACATGCGGTTTTCACTTCTTGACAGACATTGAAACTTGAATCAATATTACGGTGATTATATTGAACAAACAAGTGAAATGAATCTTTTGTTTATGTTCAAATTTTTTTTGTAGATTTTCTTACCAGATTTCAAGCTTTAAGTTACATAATTTTACTTTATAAAAATTTGAATAATTCAATGCTCAATTTTACATAACTATGTTGTTTCTATTTTTTAATCGAAAATTGAGTTTTTATTTATAAAAATAGCTTTTCGATTGTAAGCAACAAATATTCAAATTTGTTTACTTACCGAATAGTATGGTTAATATTTTGACTGATATATGATGAAGGAATAAAATTACTTAAATAATTAGTCCAGTAAAAGAAATCATTTTTTTTAACAAATTGAACATCATTACAATCCTTTTACGGATTTTAAATTGTAAATCAACAAATAACTGAAAGTAAGAATTGATATATAGGTGTATATTAATATAGATATGAAATCATCAATCAGTCATAGTTAGACCACCATTAAAAACCTAAAAAACACTGGATTTAGACATTAACACCGTTGGATGCCGGCTCAGTGGTTCAGAGGTTAGGCGCTCGCGTCCAAGACTGAAGGTCCCAGGTTCGAATCCTACGATGTGCAGGTGTCTTGGATGCGTACTGCCATTGATGAGTACCATACCAGGACGAAACGGTCGTCTTTCAATGCTTCCAAGTTTCTAATGATGGTCTAACAATGATTGATTTATTGATTGATAATTTCAAATGTGTAAAACACACTAATCTTCATAACTCCAATTGAAAATATAAATTTTTATGATTGTTCAATAGTTAAAAATAAACTTGATCAAAAGGATCTTTGGTTCCTCTATTCAACGAGCATTTGAAAATTGATTTTAATTTACCAGTACGAGAGATTTGTTGTGATGACAGAAAGTCATTGAATGTCATGAATTCAAGAAAAACCCGAAATTAAACATTGATTGTACACTTGAAACTACTGTTCAAGTGTGAGGACTGAGGCACTCTGAGTCAATTAAAAACGAAAACATTACATTGAATACTCTTTTTGCACACCATCTTTGAGTCGTGACTTCCAACGCTCCATCCTTCTTCCATTCCTGTTGTTGCTTCCTTTACTTCCTGTCGGTACTCCATTTACTTCTTGCTTTTGCTCCATTTGCTTTTCGTTTTCCTCTTCTGACCGTGAGAGTTCTTCTTTCACGTCCCTTCTTATACTACTTATATCGTTCGTGTATAAGTAGCACACACCACACAATTATTAACGATAGAGTCTTTTAATTTAAGCTATTTCATGATATCAAACAAATTTATTCAACTATAAATATATATATAAAGGTATATATTTTGTTTTAATTTTATTTTCAAAAATTTGCACTCATTCAATTTTTTTCCAATTATTCTGATTATCTTTTTCTTGTCTTTCTCTCTCTCTATAGATAAAATAACTGATGCAAATAGTTCCCGCATAGATCAAACATTCATTTTGTGGAATAAAACAATTACAGGTGGTAAGTTATTTTTGTGTAGTGTGTGTGAAATAAAAGGCAGAAAAATTTTGTCATTGTTTACCAGTGAATTACTTTAAAAACTATTGGGAGTATTCGGTTATTTCTATTTGGTAAAGCATTTTGTTATTAGTAGAGTAGAGTAGAGTTTGAAATCAAAACAACGCACACGAGAATTTAGAATTGAAAAAAAAAAAGTTTTTGAAAAATAGTTTTAAATTATTGAAAATTTGTTTAGATTTCAGAATAAAAAACAAAGCTTATTGATGAATGGAGAAGTAAGTAATGAATAGATAAATTAGGTTTTAATACTGAAAGCCGGTAGCAGTCAGTTGTCTACGCAAAATACTTCGGATTCGTTGGCCAGAAACAATCAGAAACAACCTACTTACTGTGGGAGAGAAAAAACCAGATTCCAGTAGAGGAGGAAATCAGGAAGAAGCTCTGGAAGTGGATAGGACACACATTACGAAAAGCGCCTAACTGCGTCACGAGACAAGCCCTCACATGGAACCCTCAAGGTCAAAGGAAAAGAGGAAGGCCAAGGAACACATTACGCCGATAATTAGAGAAAGACATGAGAAGAATGAACAAAATTTGAAGAGAACTGGAAAGGGAAGACCAGGACAGAGTTGGTTGGAAAAAACTGGTGGGCGGCCTATGTTCCATTGGGGGTAACAGGCGTAAGTAAGTGTGTAAGTATGTAGCAGTCATTGTTAGACTATCGTTAGAAATCTGGAAGCAATGAACAGTCGTTTCGTATTGCTATGAGACTCATCAGAAGTGCACATTAGCGACTGCTGTTACTAGCAGGAGTCTTCGGTAGTTACTACTGACTAAAGCTGAACTTCACTGGTCATGTCTCATCACTAGACCTCCGAGAATTCTCTCACGAAGCTAATCACCAGTGAGAACATTGTACGAATTGTTTATGATACAGTTAGGAAGATTGTTATTTTTTTTGACTGATATCATGAATTTATTTTTATTTTCAAGACAAACAAACATTTTAAATTGTTTGTACTAGTGGATGCTAAAAAGAATCATGATAGTCTTGTACACTAGAGGTTAACTGATTTTTCAATGTCATTTTGAATAATACTAATGATAATCATGTAAAGTGTTCCATACCGATTGGGTGATATTATCACAAATATTTTTTAACATACATTCTTACTTACTTACGCTTTTTACCCGCTGGGGAGCATAGACCCCAGTTCAGCATACTCCAACCCGTTGTGTCCTGAGCCTTCTTTACAATTTCTAGCCAATCGCTATTCATTCTTCTTGTGTCTGTCTCCAATTCTTGGCGTAATGTGACCCTTGGTTTACCAATTTTTTGTTTGGCCTAGAGGATTCCAAATGAGGGCTTGTTTTGTGACATGGTACAGTGATTTCCTCAAAGTGTATCCTATTCATCTCCAGCGTTTCTTCCTTCATTTCATCCTATTCTGAAATCCGGTCTGTTCTTTCCCGCAGTAGGTTATTGCTGATGGCGTTAAGTTACTAACATACACTTAATATGATATTCATTCATATCCTATATTTTCAATCATATCAGTTTTCTCTTTCACAACCACTGAAATCTAAATACTGTGTTGCCCACTTCATCGTATACGAGAAATATTTGAATTCCAAAAAACTTATTCACTTTTCATTTTTTTCTCAAAAAATAAATAATTGAAAAGATACTCGTCAGTTCACTATTCCCAACATGCAATGAAATACAATTGTTTTGCACAAATATAGATCATTTTGATGGGTTTAATGTAAGTTGGTTGACTTAGTTAAAATGAAATATTGGGGCAGAGTTTTGGAGGTTTTGTGTTTTTACACACTTGAAATCATCAATCAGTCATTGTTAGACTAACACCATTAGAAACCTGGAAGCCTTACAAGACGGCCGTTTCGTCCTGGTGTGGGACTGCTCATCAGTGGCAGTGCGCGTCCACGATATAGTAATTTTATTTGAAGAAATAATGACGCCGATTCAGGTATCTCTACGGACTAAATTCATTTAAATCAATAGATAGAAGTTCAGTCTATACGCATTGGATTGAATTACCAATGTCGAAATTATGAATCAGTCAAACTGTAATCTCATCACTCTTGTAAATAACCAAACATTGAAGATATTCAATTTTGATGTTATCCAGTTGATGACAGCTAATGAGAAGGTAAAAATATGAAATTATCATTCTAGTTGATAATTGATTGTTTTTCAATTGACGGACAGGTAGATACAACGCAGAATTTCGGACATAAGTACATCAGTTCAGACTGCCACACCACATCAACACAGAGCCGCAAATCCAAGTTCAAATCCAAGAGTGATAGAGACAGTAGAAGTATTAGCAATAATGGAGAAGATTAGGGAGCAAAGATATTATCCAAAAAGTATCATTCAGCGCGATATACTTAGAAGGAGAAATACAGAGATTATGAGGAATTCAGAAGGTTAGAATTTGAGAGAACACAAATAGTGGATACACCTGTGCCGTTGCAAATGATTTCGAGCCATGTCGTTTAAGATTTCTAACCGTCCGTTACTATCGTCTCGCGGACCCCAACCAGATGGCCTACATCCACCAACATGACTCAGTCCACTTATCAGTGGCTTCATGGATTCGTGCCATGTTTTGGTTTGGCCGCCCCTAACTTTCTTCCAACCTACTCCTACAATACAAAACATGGCTCGTCACGGCAGTACAAGACCTAAGCTGTAAAATTTCTAACCGAATACTTTAACCTATATCAAAACATCAATAACATTGTTGCAGATAATTATCATAGCCAGCTGCGTTTATTTATTTTCTTTTAATGTCTATTAGCTCGAAAACAGGTAAATAGTTAGTTAAGCTTCGTCATATGCGAAACCGTTTATCAAGTGTTTTATGTTTATTGCATTACTTGCCAACCGTCAACAAATTGCATTAGCTTTAAATTTCATGAATCTCTTATAATTGATTGCGCAAACTAGTTGGTGTCAATTAAACACAGTTAGGTAATTGTTGTGGTGGTGTTTGGTTCTCTGAGCTGGATGTTTAGTTGGTTGTGAAGCTTTCATTGTTCTTCTTCTGATCAACATCATCAGCACAAACTTCAGATAGAAGAAGTGCAGTATTCGAATTTCTCCACGTTTGACCTGTAGCTTGTTCTGCTAACCTCGACCTTGATTTGTTGCTGTTGACTTTTGACCTGTCGTTGTTTGCAGATTTGTTTTGATTGTATCCTCTTTTTGATCTGTTTCTTGATCCTATGTCACCTAGCTTGTTCTGCTAACCTCGACCTTGATTTGTTGCTGTTGACCTTAAACCTGTTGTTGTTTGAACCTTTGTTTTGATTGTATCCCCCTTTCGACCTGTTTCTTGATCCTATGTCACTTTATGATTTTCCTGATTGTTTGATAAATTGGGTCAATGTCGATGTGTTTGTTGATTACTGATTGACCAGTTAGGTAAATGAACATTATAAAATCCTAACTATTTCATACTCTTAAATTTTGTGAAATAGATGTATATAAATAAATGGCTCGAATGAACAACACAATACTTGAATCACGTGGAAGGCAAAATACTGGGGGAAAAAGATGTCTTAAATCTTACGCCACATATTTGAAGATTATGATATTTTGTGACTAACACTCATGGCATGACTTGATAAATACTGTCTACTGTCATATCCAGTCTCAATGAATGTCATTTTACACCATGTAAATACTTTAATTAGACTACCAATGAAAACTAATCAGGAATACACATCCTAGTGCAACGTTGTTAACAAAACCCAGAGCCAATCAAAGTACTATCTTTTGACTAATATATTCAAATTTCAACTTGAACAAAGCCAATCATTCCTCTCGCCAAATATATATATATATATATATATATATATATATATATATATATATACTTGTGATATAGTTATTATCTACGCTGATATTACATACCTATTCATCGCATTATATAAGTAAAAAAGTGTTTCTTGAAATATAACAAAGTTTATGAATCGATCATTGTTGATTCGTCATTAGAAACCTAGAAATACTGGACTTCTGTTTTGTCCTATATTGTGCTATTCATCACAAGTACGCGAACGTCCTGTGTTCGATTCCTGAGAGCAAGTTTTGTAACTGCAAACTGCTGATGAATTTCATACTAATAGAACAAAACATTTGTTCATTGTTTTCAGGTTTTTAATGATGATCTAACAATGGTTGATTCATGATTTCAAATGAAAAACAACAATCTCCATATCTATATAATGAATAACACAAAGAGGTATAAATTTCTCATAGACATTATGTTGGGGACGTTAGATCCCTAAAAATCAGTTGATAAAGGTATTAGTTTTGAATTTTATCCATGGACTGATCAGTTGACCTTGCGATTATATTTTCCACCAAGAAAATCCTTAGCTATGATTGGTTACTGTGTTATTTTAGTACGCTATTTTTGTGACTCTACCAAAGACGTTTCTACGATGTATAAATAAACGCGATTTGTGTGTGCTTGAGATCATTTATATTTCTGAGTACTTGTAGAATACACATTCTATGCCATATCAAGACTTCTGCTTCAGTTAATTGAAGTAACGGATCAGAGTAGCCTATCATGTCGCTGGATCATTGTCTCGTTCTGGTTTATCAACTAAGGTGAAGTCGTAGCAGCTTTCAAGCATATCAGTCTGACGAACATAACACATTACAACCAGACATCATATCTATAAGGATTAAATTATTCCAGTGTGTTTGTTTTTATATGATACCTATTATTAGAAAACTTAACTGTTATTACGTAAGTGAATATTGAAAATGAACTAAACAAAAATGATTAGTACCATTATTATTATTCTGATGTTATTCAATATGATCTTGCATAAATTACTCGTTAAATTAAATAGACTATTGAATTTTCTGCTGAATACTATGCCTTCATACATCTTTTCAACAAAATGATTCTCAAACAGATCGTCGACATGCATGTACCACATGCGTGTACTAT